TATCACTATTTACAAGCTTAAATCTATCTTGGAAACAGATTTCAGTCTCTAAGTTAGATCTAACTTAGAAGGAGATTTCTTTTTATATTTTAGACATTGTTTTCGTTTCTAATCTGTTAAATCAGTTTAGATCTTTTTCCCTTATCCAATTATTTAGATTTTTTTTGGTTGAGTTCTAAAACAATATTAAAAAATTGGCCTTGAATATATGAAACCTAAAGAATTAAAATAAAATGAGGAAATACAGGCCAAGAATACTTGTCTTAATTAAACTTAATTACTAAGAGTAAGAAAGTAAGAAAATATAGAGAAATAAAATAAAATTTTGGAAGAAAAAATCAATTAGTAAAATTGGCCAATAATATTTGTTGTTTTAAAAAGCAAATAGAATTATATATATATATATATATATATATATATATATATATATATATATATATATATATATATATATATATATATATATATATATCCAAGACTCTAATCATAAAGTCTCCCAGGTTCACGTGAGAAGTCTAACCCATGGACCATTCTAAAATTTAGAGAATTGTAATTGAAATTGATGTCATGGTTCATATAGGTTGACTTGGATACAAATGACAAAATCAAACTTGCTTAAGGATAAATGAGGGACACCAGCCTAAGCTAATCAAGTAAGTAGCCTTACTATCGGCATGGTTATATTTGATGTTGACATGTGCCCCGTAGTTTTGCACGTGTCATATATATTGACATGTGAGAATTGTCTGTGGATTGATATGCTTCTTATATGTTATGTATATGTTATAACATGTGAATTGTATGATAATGATTACGGTATGACGTGTTCAATAATATGTTTGAGATAAGGATGCACAAAACCAAATGTAACGATAAGTAAGATACGTTCATGAAAAGTAAAGGTTAGGTTACATATCGGAGTGCTATTGATATGAGAAATTGATGAAAGAATACAGTTGAAAAGTAAAGGTTAGGTTACATATCGGAGTGCTATTGATATGAGAAATTGATGAAAGAATACAGTTAGGTTATGGGTAGAAAGGGATAGGTTTGTGATAGATTGATAGAATGACAGCGTTAGAATATGTTATTTGTGATGATATGACTAAGGTACATGAACGTACGATATGATTGTGATAGGTATAAGAACGTTAAGGCTATGATAAGTTAGGGAACAATATGACCACGAAGTGTTTACGATATGACATGTTTATGATACGATATATTGTGATGTGATATGTTATGTTTAGATTGTTTTTTGTGACCATTGAGGTTATTGTTGTATGAATTGCACATTATGAAATAACATGTTAAAAGCATGGAGCATTATGTTACGTTTTCTAAATTATATGTTATAAATGACATGATATCACGATAAATAAAATGAAATATAACCCCGTTAGAATTATGCATGATATGAGAACTGAAAAATGAGAAAAGATATGATATAAATGTAAAACGATGGCGGGGTTATATTTAATAATGTCGAAAATGGAAAAATATTGGGACTTCATGCATTATGTGTGCTCATGCATTGAGGGATACCCCTATTTCATCACGATGGGCAGGGGTACGATCATTATGTTTTACAAAATGCTGCTGGCAGGACTGCGATCATTATGTTTTACATAATGATGCCAGTAGGTACGATCATTTTGTTTTACATAATGATGTCACGGTGGTTACTAGTTCTAATGGGTGTCTGGCCTAAGGAGCTCCTAGAGTATGCTCGCCCAACAAGGAAAGTGGCCCAGAAGTGTGCGAACTGAATGGTGAGTCCATACTCGCACGAATGGGCTGTGTGTCGAGTATATGGTACACATCTAAATTATCCGTTAGGACAGTACCGTAGGAAAATAAATTGAAAGGATGGGTCCCATCATTGCATTTGCATGTTCTTGCATTTAACCCCCAATAGTGAGGTCACTTGCTGAGTATTTCTTTAAATACTCCAGTCATGTGCTACTACATTTTTTTAGGTTAAGGCAAGGCATTCCTGTATGGCTGACGATGGCATCGTAATTCGAGACCATGACACATGCATAGGGTAGTGGTATTTAGTTTTTTAGACTTATGAAATTTCGAGCAGTAGTAGAGGAATACTCAGCTAATAGTTGGAAACAACAACAAGAAGAAGATAGCAGCGGGAATAATTGCACTACACAACAAGCAGAATGGAAGAAAATTGTAAGAGTTTTGAATCACTGGAATTAGAGGAGAGAATAAATTAATCAATGAAGTTATCTATTGATGACACACCCTTGAACTACATATTAGAAGAAGAATTATTTGTTATATGGGAGATAGACTTCACAAAATTATTCCCACCCATTGCAAGATGGAAACTTCCAAAGGGTCATCATTTCTTTGACAATGGATAGCTAAAAAAAATGAAAAGAGAAAGAGGGAGCTAGTCACAGTTTGCAAACAAATATACGAAGCTATGAGTAAATCAAGTTAGTTTTTATTCTCTTATTATTTATCATTCACATAGTTGTTTTAAATAGTTATCTTCACTTTCTTTACAATGATAGTTTTTTAGATTTTATTTCACCTTTTATCATGAATAACTCGCATGCCCCAAAGAAATTGGCCAATGTTGTAGATGAATTAAGAGGATTTAGATGCGGTTAGGAATGCTAATTTAAACATATTAAGGAGGCTAATTGCACTTAGTGCATGCTAGGATGTGATTGATGACAAATATTGTTCTCTTAGAGTGCACGTTGTCACATAGTTGTCTTGTTCATTTTCATCTGCATGTGGTTTTATTTTATTTAAATGTTGTGCACTTTCTCATCCAACTACATGCAACGCACCACCACCAAAGAAAATTTTTTAGGAATATTCTAAAAGATTTTCTAACCCCTCCAAGTAAAGAAATTCATATGACAAAGAGAAATGGACGTAAAATAATTGTAAGAATCGAGTCCCGATGGAAAGTTTTAAATCTAATTTTCCTTTTATGTCAAACTTCTAAGATTTTATTGAGGGTCTTAGAGACCAAATTTGGAGATGAGGCATTAGAGAAATATGCTTGGAAATAACCGAGGAACATACGAAAAATATAAAAGAAAAATGATAGAAAATTAGAAATATGGTCAAATTCAACCCCCGAGGGTAATTTGGTCATTATACCCTCCCTCTCATTAAACACCTAAAATTGAGGTTAGTGACATGGTTAAAAGAAAAATGAGTATAACAGGGGAAAAGAAAAGAATAGAAAAGGAAAGAAAGAGAAAAAAAAGTTCTAGAGAGAGAAAGGGAGGTAATCGCCACTCCGGCCAAGCCGTCTTCATGAAATCTTCACAGAACTTAGAGGAGAACATTCCAAATCGTCGAGAAATAGACCTAAATGGAGAAAATCAGTATTTATATACACGCTATTGGTGTAGAAACGCTAAACGTAGGACACACGTCAATCATGTAAGTCACCACATGGAACTTTAGGAACAAATACTTGTAGGAGTGGCTTGGTTATGCATGCATGCAAGTTTAATTACCTTAGATGGTAGCTTTCCATGATTGAATTTAGGTAACTTGTTTGCTAAGAGTATGAATGTATTATGTGAAATATTTTGAGAATTATCTGAGTGTTGGAATTATGTTTTAAGTTACCATTTTATATGTATATGTTTAATTCATGTTGAAAGAAAGATGGGAACTTGTGAACTCTGCGTCCCATTAAGCATGTATGTTTACTTTGCATGAATTATGTATGATGATGCTAAATGATACTTGTGTGCTCACTTAGTTAATTTTCATGACCCACATTTATGATAAGTCTAGGAATTTTTGGTTAGAGGGACGAGTTACAAAGTATAGACCTAAAATGTCCCCTAAGAGTCTATGAAACTACTGCGGCATATGAACCACCTTCAAAGTACCCTTAGGTTACTTGTGTGTGATTGGTGTTATGTCTTTGTGGGAGCCCAGGGGGTTCCTGATCAGGACTCGACTGTTCTAAAGCCGTTTTAGCATGAGAAACAGGAGACCCACGTTGTAACAGACCATTTAGCTGGATGGGAATGGGGGAGGTAGCCCTCCCCGAACAAAAGGGGATTACAATGGGACTAGGGGATTGTAGCTCACCTCCTAGGTAAGATACCAGGTAGTCTCATAGTCATGCTGAGGTAGCTACTCGCAGTACACCAGTCAAACATAGGTTGGCACAAGGGAACTCTTAGGGTTTAAATGAAAGGATGAAGAACCAAAGAAGCCCCAAGGGACAAGTTCCAAGGGGCATGCCCTCAAGAGCTATGACAAGAACCATATGTCTTAGAGCTAAAGAGAAGTCTGTGAAAATCTGTTAAGCTTAGGATGCGATGAAAGCCTACGAAGTAGTGGAACGATTTCTGTATTGGAACGGGAAATATATCTTTGGTAGATCCAAAGATTTTCCACATTTGATGAACCAAAATGGTTGATGAATTTTATGAGCATTCTGGCATAATTGAATAAACCGAGTGCTCGTAATTTTGATACCAAATGACATTAAACCACGCCATTTGATAATCTATGTATGAGAAAGAATGAGGAACAAAAGGTTTTGAAAAAGTTTTCTCCGTGTACGGATCTTGATTCCAGTACGTCGGATTCATGACTTTGAAAATTTTTAATTTTGAGTACACGATTTTTGAAGGATCATCGCGACTCAGGATATGAGTAGTTTCGACAGACTTGGTGTCGACCAAGATGAATTCATAAAACCTTTTGGTCTTATGAAGATCTTCCGGGATATAGAAAATCCCGATGGATAGGCTTTCTTGACGACCTCGCTGATTTTTGGATTGGCCATGGGGAGGATGATTGGCTCAGGTAAACAATTCGGAGGTCTCTATCATATTTCTCCATCTCCAATAAATTCGGAGGTCTCTATTGTAACGCCCGAAAAAAAAAAAAAAAAAAAAAAAAAAA